AGGAGAATCAGAAGTTTGAAGGCAGCCTCAGCTACATAGTGATTCCGGAGCCCATCTGAAGCTATGTGAGGCCCCGTCCCACAAACCAACCAACAAAAACCTAAGTCTGGAAACTAAAGCATAGCTTTAAAAGCACATATGCTGCCAAATGCATATGCTATTTCTTATTAAGTATTCTAGAAGGAGTGAGAAATATCCCTTCTTTCATGCATGCACTATTAGATGTGGCTGGTGCTGACTGCAGATGGCCCGGTGAGTAAGCAAGCACAACGTTCTTGAGGTGGGACGGACTGGGCATGATCAAGAATCTAAGCATGCTAAACTGCGTAGAACAGCATAACCAAGTGCAAGCTATATACAATATAATATGTGAAACGTTACATCTAGTCAAAAAGAAACTTGCAGACTTGAATCACCATTTCCGCCAAGCCTTTCCTTTGTGGCCTGCATGTAGTGACTATGGAAAAAAAAAAAAAAAAAGTGCATTGCTGTAATATACCCTTCAGGAAAATGAAACCAACTGTGGTTTCATTTCCTCCAACTGTGTGTGAGGGCAGGGTGTGCCCAGTTGGGCTCCAGCCAGGCTAAGGCAGAGAGGCCTGAGCTGCTGCTCCTGGCCCAGATACCTTGAAGTCAGTAGCCATGACAACAAGCTTCTCTTACTCTGCCTATTCATCCCCACCCCCAAGTCCCCATGGTAACAGAGTAAAAGTTTTTTTGGGGGGGAACAGATTGTAGAATTGAGTACTCATAAGAAAACTGATGCCCACAATGGTTAAGTCTGCCTAAGTATATGGTGGAAGATGCTCTAAGCTCTCTCCCATGTGAACACAGGTTTCCTATGCCTTTCCTTCGAAGCAGGTAAAGGGAAACAACATTGGTTTTCCTCCTATTGCCCCCCATTACAAAATAGCCTGGCTGCCAAGAGACCTACTGTGATGATCGCATATGTTTCCTGATCACACTCCTTTTCCTGTATTCACACAAGGTAGCTCTCCGCTCAGTATCAAAGGCCCAAGTGCTTAAACATATGCCTACAGTCCAGGACTTGAAGTTGAAATCATAAAAAGAGCCAAGGAATTATGTCAAGGTATTAGTAACACTTTTCTCTCCAAACCATAAACTAAACCCATAACTTCTGATTATGTTGCATGGGCATATAAACTTTAGACAGACAGAGGAAAAAGCCCTGTGCAAATGTCACAAATACAGCAGCTGTAGAGTTAGGATGTAGCTCAGAGTAGAGTGTGTGCCTACCACGTGGTTCTATGCCCAGCAACAGAGTGAGAGAGAATGCAAATCGCATCACTTTTCAACTACCATGGTGGAGATGGAGCGCTGAGGAAGTCTGTGTGTTATAGGGGTTACAGCTTTCTTGTTTCAGTCTAGGGTTGAATCAGGACCTTCCATATGCTACCAAGGGACTCTTCCATGGAACTAGATCCTGCCCTTTTTAAAAAGTTTTAATTTTAGTCAGAGTACCACTAAGTTGCCTGGGTCTTCATTCTTGAACACTGAGGAAATCTTTATAATAAGGAAGAGATAACACAACAGCCAGCTTGAGGAGAACAGAAATATTTGAGAAGGATGCCTCTATTTCCCTGTAATTCAAACAGCAAAGGACACAATGAGGGAAATCTGCCATTGTATGAGGTGATATAATGACAAAGGTCCAACCAGCCCCCCACCTCACACACATGACACATATTGGTATACACACATATTGGTATACACACATATTGGTATAAACACATACCACAGAAACACACACTGTACACACCACAAAACACACCCCACACAGACACCTTACACAAACATGCACAGCTATCACTAGGTACACAGTAACCAGTAAGCCGGACATCTTAATGTACTACCTTGGCGAGGGCGTATAAAAATGGCTGCAACTATTGGCCAATCGAGAAAGATTACAATCTTTGTGATATTATAAGGAATCAGTTGGTGGGTTACTGGGGCAGGTTTTGGACCAAGAGAAGAAACCACCTAAGACACACCAGGGTGGCCAGTATGCCAAAAGTGACATGAGCATCTTCAAAGGAGGGCCCATTTTCCTAGAACTGCAAGGGTCCTTGGAATTGTAGAGAGCTGAGAATCTTGAATAGAAAGAGACCTCCTCCAAAGAAAAGCCTGTGTGAGAAACATGCTCATTCAGGAACAATAATTAAGGCAACCACAGCTGATAAAGAAATTAGGGTTTGTGGCTGGGCTTCACGTCCCTGAAAAATATATGCTTACTAAATGCCCTTTTTTAAGAAACAATACTTTTCTCTTAGTCATGGTAAATAGTTAACTTAGGAACTATAGTTATGTCTGATTTCTGGATAATAAAACAGAGAGATTCCCAAGTCCTTTGCTGCACAGATGTTACTAAACCATGAATTTCCAAAAACAAAAAACAAATATAATTGTTTCAGTACTCAGAAAAAAAATATCAATTTCTTCATTCAAAAAATATTGGGCCTAGTGACTCACCTATGAACAAGAAATAAAAACCACCTATTTTCTACATGTTATGTCTTAGTTTCTGGGGCAGTATGAGAAAGACAATTAAGTAAAGCATATTGTGTGTAGACCTTAAAAAGAAAATTCAGAACAGGTAAGTGTAGGTGGGAGTGCAGGAGGGAAGAGAGGGTAGTCTTATTTAACATTAAACATTGACAAAGGCATCAACAGAGGCCTCAGTGGATGTGAGTCAAGTGCTGAAGGGGTGACAATGTTGGCATGGAGAAGAGAGTATTCTAAGCAAAGAAAATAGCTACTATGACCAACTGTGCAGTAAGCCGGTGTGTGTAAGGAGCAGCAAGGCAAGCCAGTGGCTGGACAGACTAGACAGAGTGGAGGCAATTGTATCAATAGATACAGCATGTGGGCAGGGCATGTGGAATGCTGAGACTTCAGCTTTTACCTCGCGTGAAATGAGAGGTCACTGGAAGTGTTTGAGCAGTCTGGTGAATCCACTTAACATTAAACGGAATGGTGTTAATTACTGTGCTGACAACAGGCAAATAGGCAGGGAGTTGGGACAAAACCAGAGCATAAAAATAAATTACTGTACAACTGGCTAGAATATCCAAAGCAAAAGCATGTGGCTTAGACCAGAGTGATGACTGTGGGTTTTCGAGAAACGGTGAAAATGGGATGCACAAGCAAGCTGAGGCTTCAAGTACCATTTAGTGCAAGAAACATGGGTTGTGAAAGCAGTCAGAGGTACTGTCATGATAACCTGGTGCCAGAAACGGTGACATCTTGGTGCATTCCCATGGGGTCAAATTGTATTACAATAAATTCACAAGGTCCAGTGGCCCCAATGGCATCAATTTGCCAGACAGACCTGTTGCTGGTTGTTTTTTACTCTTTTGACTCTTGGAGGTTCCACTACCCAGCTCCCAAATAAATCACACAAAGGCTTATTGTTTCTTATGAATGCCCAGCCTTAGCTTAGCTTGTTTCTTCCAGCTTTATTTAAATGATCCAGACTACCTTTTGCCTCTGGTCTTTTTCCTTTTCTTCTGTATATCTTACAGTCACTTATTTCATGGCTGGCTGGGTGGCTGACCCCTGACATCCTCCTCCCCTTGTTCTTCGTTCCTCGTTTGTTGCTTGATCCTTCTCTGTTCTCCTTCTAGTTATTCTCTCTGCCTGCCAGGCCCACCTATCCTTGTTCCTGCCTAGCTATTGGCCATTCAGCTCTTTATTAGACCATCAGGTGTTTTATTTTTTTTTTTTAGACAGGCAAAGAATCACAGCTTCAAAGAGTTAAACAAATGCAACATACATAAACAAAAGCAACACGTCTTTACACCATTAAACAAATGTTCCACAATATAAACAAAAGCAACACACCTTAAAATAATATTTTACAACATACGTCTTTACTTTTGCTATTTGTTTGGGAGCCAGGACAGAGTCACACCCTTCCCCTGGTCTAGCATGGCTTAATATTCCCACACATCACAGAGTCCCAATTCCTCTCAGTAAACTGAAAGGGTTAGGTTAGGGCATGCTTTCTACTCCCAGGGATAAGTTGCCTATCAATCTGTGCAGTATAGGTGGAACCAAGCAGATGTGTGAGTTACTGGTCCACTACTGTGACCTTACTTTTCCTTCAAAATAGAGTTAAAGGCTGGGCTAGAGAAGATGGCTCAGTGGTTAAGAGCACTGGCTACTCTTCCAGAGGTCTTGAGTTTAACTCCCAGCAACCACATGGTGGCTCACAGCCACTATAATAGGATCTGATGCCTTCCTCTGCAGTGCAGGTGTACATGCAGAGCACTCATATACATAAAAAAATAAATAGAATAAATTTTTTAAAATCCCTGTTTTATACAGTACTTAATAGCTTAGAGCAAGGCATAGCCTGATCTCAGCAATAATTTTACTCTATTTTTAGGGTTGCTGTTATTAGAATACCAAGAATTGAGTCATTTCAACAACAGAAATGTATCCTTTGGTAATGTTACCTCAATGACCTCTCATGCTAAACAATGGCGTGTAAAACAACTTTGTCCACCAATAAGGTCATAGTCTTAGGAAACAGAAGCTAGAATCTGAGCACAGGAACTTGTGTGGAGAGGGCAGAGTTTGGTCCATAAGTTCATAATCACAATGGCAAAGTCAAGTGTGTGAACATAGGCGTGGAAGTGAGTTGAGGCTGAGATCATTAAACCAGAAGAAGTTAGAAAAGTGACAGGCTGACAGATTAGATTGATTAATTCTGTCTATCAAGTTACCAATACTGATAATAAAAATAGTCTATGTGAGCATGAAAGACCTCTTGAGCTGTCTGCAAGAATGCCTTCAAGTATATGAAAAGCCAGCCGAGTGTGATGGAGTACATGAAACTCCAGCAGTCAGGAGGCTGTGGCAGGGGGTTCTCAACTTTCAGTGCAGCCATGGCCACAGGTAGACTTGTCTATTATCTATAAACTATTGTGTGTACAAGTTTGAATATGTGTGCATGCCCTTATGCAGGCATCTGCGCGTTCCAGTTGGAAGTTGACATCAAGCATCCTCAACCACTTGGCTTCTGAGACAGAACTGTCACCAAACCTGATGGTCACTGATTAAAGCAGACTGTCTGTCCTGCCCCGGGGATCCTCCCATATCCACTTCCCCAGTGCTAGGATTGCAGGTGAGAGCCCAATTTTTACGTGGTCACTAGGACACTTCCCCCACCCAGCCATCTCTCCAGCCCCACAACAGACTAAAGTTGAAAGTAATATGAGATTTATGTATTCAACATCCCACATAAATGAGAGTTAATTTTTAAAGTAATCCTCTTTTCTAAAGTGACTTTGGTAAAACCTTTAAGCATATCCTGAATAGCCTATGCTGCTATCATTTCTGTCTAGTGCTCACAAATGTGTATTACCCGAGATGACTGGATTTAGCTGTTTTGTGTTGCTCTAACAAAATCCTAAGAGAAGCTGTTTAACATGCATTATGTTGTGGCTCACTGTTCCAGAGTTTGGACTGGACTGTTTTGGACTCCTGTTCTTAGGCAGGATCTTAGAGCAACAGGAGTCTACAGCAGCAGGAAACTGTTCATACCATGGTAGATCACTACCAACGGGCTTTTGAAGTTTATTTCTGGCCCCTAGTTCCCACTCATCTCCACCTCCTGATCTACACAATTTCACAGCCTTCCCAATATTGAAATACTGGAGTCAAACCAGAACATCAGCACTGTGGATTTACGCAGAGAAGTAGGATGGTCAGGAAGTGGTCTCCAGGCTAGAAGTGCCATCTACTGGTTTGCATTTCCTTGTCCAGGACAACCCCAGAGCAAATCAATGCCTTGACCCTTGCTTCACAGGAGACTGTCCTCTGCTAGAGCACACATACCGTGTCCCTGAGACCAAGCAGGCCTGTTGAAACCTAGGTAGACTATCACTCAGCTCCTCAGTCAGCCCCAAAGGCAGCTTTCCCTCCTCACTCCCACCTTTACCCTCACGTAAGTCAGGTTCACACTTTTCTCCTACTCACAGTTCACACTCCTCACATATCCCAGTTGCTTCCTGTGTCTTACACCTACCACAACTTACTCTTCTACACATTTTTAGTATGCGCGGGTAACTTGTATGGTTTATATTTTTAATTCTTTTAAATGGAGTAAGAGTATCATGAAAGGACTTCACACCATGCCTTGTGCATAATAGATACTCACGACTTCGTACCGAATGAATGAAAAGAAGCGAGTACTGATTTCTGAATACAATACAGACACCATGTATGGTAGTGGAACTTCTGAGACCACCCCCAACTGCATTCCAAAATAACAGAGGTGATCATCCGAATACATTTATGGGGTTCCTGTGCCTATTACTCATAGTCCTTGTTTAGCTTGGGGCTGTTCATGACCTCAGATTGAAGCCAAAAGAAACTAAGAACATTCAAGACACCAAGACAACCAAAAGAAGTTGAACAAGGTCGGTGGAAGCTCCTTGGTGGCTGCAAGGCTGCAGCCTATGCCAATCACTCTGATAAACATCCCACCCTTTACCAGTGTATTTCCTTCTTTGTCCCAACCCAGCCCTGTACGCTCGAGCCTCAGTTCTTCTCCTCTTCTTCCCTTGTGAGCTTCAAGAAGAGTCCCCAGGAGAGATTTTTTTTTTAAGAAATGCCAAACACAGTCATGCTAAGTTTATATTTTGTTAGACTTTATAATGAGTAGCTCCTACATTAATAATTTCAACAGACATTCCTTAAATGTCTTTCAAATTAGTTTTGTTGAGTCAGCATACAAAGCAATGAGTTGCATCACTGAATTTTCATACACTTTGTTTTGTTTGTTTTCCTCCCCCAGGAGTCTCCCTGACCAACCCCCTTGTCCCACTGCTGATAGTTTCCTTGAACCCCCTGCTAGCCCTCTCTAGACTTTCATGTCCCATGAATTCAGATCTCATTTCCCTCTTATATTTCCCTTTCTAGTTTCACACAATTGCACACTCACAGACACACACAGAAAAACACACACACTCATGCACACCGACACACCTTATAAAAATTAAAATCTAAGTTTCTCATATGAGAGAAAATGTGGCATTCGCCTTTCTGAGCCTAGGTTACTTCACTCTCAGTTCCGTCCATTTTCCTGTAAATGTAATGATTTTTTTTCTTTACCACTAAATAAAACTCATTCATATAAGTGCACCACATTTTCTCATCTGTTCACCTATGGATGGACATTTAGGCTGGCTCCATGTTTAGCCATTGTTATAGTACAACAATAAACAGGGTGTGCAGATATCTGTATGATGACCCATAGAGTCCTCTGATCACCTAGCGGACTAGAATTGAGTCATAATGGCAACTTTGTCTTTAGTTTCTTCATAAACTGATTTCCACGTTGGCTATACCAGTTTTCATTACCCCAGCAATAGAATAGGGTTCCTCTTTCCCTACAACTTGGCCAGTATCCTCCGGGATTGCCATTGTAAATGTGGTGAGATGGAATCTCGAAGCACTTGCAATTTGTATTTCCCCGATGCCAGAAGATGTTGACATTTTTTTTTCATATATTTTTTGTCCACTTGTATTTCTTCTTTTGAAAACTGTCTTGTACATTGGCTCATTTACTGACTGAATAATTTGCTTTGGTATTTTTAAAATTATTTGTGTATTCTAGATATCAATCCCAGGTCTGATATATAGTTGCTAACAACTGTCTCTCCCCTCTGGTAATTGTTTCCTTAACTATGCAGGAGATTTTTAATTTCATATAATCCCATTTGTCAATTCTTAAGATTATTTTTGTGCTACAGAAGTTCTTTTCATAGAAATCTTTTGCTTATGCCCGTTATCAAACTTGGGGATCAGAGCTTGTGCCCAAAGTCAGGTCATTTAATAAGCCAATTAGAAGAGACAAAAAGATAGACACCAGAAAAACAATGTTTATTCAATGTAGCCTCACAATCCTTCACCAGGATCCTAAAGTGAAGTTAAAGTTAAAAAAGAGGGCCGAGGATTTACACCTGTGAGCAGTCAACGTGTGATCCCACTCACCACTGACCCATCGCTGTTTGGGCTTGAGTCTCCACTTGTAAGGTGTTCTGACAAGTTCTTAGAATTATGTGACTTTCTTTCCAAGTATCTCTGGCTGAGGACTTTTCCTTGTCCCAGCATGAGATTCCTGGAGGGTAATCTCCATTTCTTTGGGGTCCTGTGTTTCAATAGTCTCATAGTAAAACTGAGAGGCATGGGTGTCTCTTTAGAATAGCCTTCATTTCTGCCAAACCAGTTATATGCCTATATATTGCAATATTTTGGCTATGGTTCTCAGCTTCGGATCTTACATTAAGGCTTTTGATTCACTTTGAATTGGATTTTGTCACAAGCCATGACATAAATGCAACAGATGGTAAGTAATAATTCAGGTGTTGACCCACCAGATCAATAACTCTCTGAGGGAGGAACCTTATCAAGCAAGGCTCAGGGGACCACAGACTCTAAAAACTTGTTGCTTCTGTCTGTAATTTTTTTCATGTGCCACTACATTTCTTCCCTTAAAAAAACTATGGGTATTTTCCCCTCTGCCTGCATTTATCCCACCTACTGGGCATGCATACATCAGTGGATGCTCGGGAAGTTGATTTCTTCTTAATATTTATAATTCTGAAGAATAGAAATAAAACTAGGATATTTTTCATAGCTCAGACTGACATAGAAAAATTAGTTCTAATACAAGCTGCATGCAATTAGCCGATTAATGGCCTCAGAGCAAACACAAACTAGACTAAATGCCTCATAACGTAGACCCTCACAGGTAATATCCAGGACAAATTCCCAAATGTCTAATTGTAGAACCAAGGTCAGGCCCAACACCACTTTGGTGCCAGTTACCTGCTTACAAAGTCTGGCTGATAAAGACCTACTCCCTACACAAACTCCTCAGCAGTTTCTCATCGCAGTTTCTCGTCGCAGTTTCTCCCTCCCCTCAGATATAACCTTTTATATTGTTTTCCTTGGGAGGTCTATAGGGGGATATAGAACAGGAAAAGAAGGAAGAAAAAGACTTGAGAGAAAAAAATAATCATCAATATATGTATGAGTCTTATTCCCTCAGGTAAGTAAAATTATTCTCAAGTCCTGCTGTTCTGGTGTTGTTGCTAGAGTTTCTTTACAGCCAGGTCCCACTGCCCTTCATCCCCAAATAAGCACACAGAGACATATTAATTTATAAACTGTTGAATGATGACTAGCTCTGTCTTAATAATTAACCCATTTCTATAATTCTATGTATTTCCACGTGGTCTTGGTTTACCAGAGAACGTCCAGACCTGTTTCTCCTTTGGAGGCTACATGGAGTCACTTTGTCGAGCCTCTCTGCCTACCTTTCCCAGAATTCTGTTAGTCTCCCCGCCTCTCTTCCTGCCTCTATTGGCCAAAAATTGTTTTATTCTTCGACCAATAAGAGAAACGCTTATACAGAAGGACATCCCCTATCACTGATGCATGTTTTTATTACCTGGGTGCAATTCTGGGAGCTGGACTCTCAAGGCTGTGGTAGGATTTTCTGCCGAGTTAGAAATATTCACCTTGTTCATGTGAATATCCAGTCTTCCCAGAGGTGTTTATTGGTGAGGTTATCTTTTCTGAATGTGTCCTTTTGACATTTGGGTGGAAGTTTAGATTACTGTGACTGTAGAACTTAATTCTGGACCCTCTGATCTATTCAAATGGTTTATGAGTTTGTTCTTGTGGTAAATCCATGTATTATGAAACCTTCACATTGTTCTTTATGTTTACAGTAGCTTTGACCTCTTCAGGTTATTATTCCATTTGTTGATCAGTATGAGTTTGAGATTGTTTTTGTCTATTCATATATCTAAAATATTCTATGAAAAGTGATTCTGTTACTGGAAACTCTAGTTTTAAATTACAAAATTCCAGCTTCTACACAGGTAAGTCTAAAAAGATAGTTATCAAAGATGAAAAGGTTTATCACCTAGATAGCAGTACTGCCAATTTCAGAATCAAGTTATAATGGCCAGTTTTAAGTTATTCATGAAAAATAATCATATTTCTATATATCATTTTTAGTATTTTGTAATTGGCTATGGGATTTCAATGATAAAATATAATTCTAAAATAGTTATTATATTACTTTATTCAAGAAACAGATTTGAAGCTTTGACATGAATGAACAAGTAACTACACCTAAATTGATCAAAGACTGGACCAAAGAACATGTAAAAAAATGGATTACTGAAGACCTTAACATTGATGAGACATATGCTCAGATCCTGCTCAAAGAAGAAGTGACAGGGATGGTTCTTCAGGAATTAACTGAAAAGGATCTTGGAGAAATGGGGTTACCCCGGGGTCCAGCACTTCTGATCAAACGTGCCTATAACAAACTGAATAATCCCCCTGAAAGTGACAATCAAGATTCCAGACAATTAAATAATAAAAAACCATCAAGAAAAACCCACCAAAAAATGTCCAAAGATGAGGAAGAAAAATCTATTTCATCCAACAGTGATCATGATCTCAGAGAAACAGAACAGAATAAAGAACAAGAATCAAGTCTTCTGAAAGAAAATATGTTAAGTGACATATTGACTAAAGACATGAAAGGTAATAAAACCAAACTGGAACAGATGTCTTGCATGCCACATCTTTTTGATTCTTTCCATGATGACAGATGCTACATAGAACATTCTATTCTACAAATTGCTGAAACAGGGCCACTCAATCTTATAGACCCAGTACATGAATTTAAAGCTCTCACAAACACAGAAACAGCCACAGAAGAAGACATTAAGATGAAATTCAGCAATGAGGTCTTCCGGTTTGCATCAGCTTGTATGAATTCACGCACCAATGGCACTATCCATTTTGGAGTTGAGGACAAACCACATGGAGAAATTGTTGGTGTGAAAGTACCCAGTAAAGATGTCTTTATTAACCATTTCAATGTAATGATCAAAAAGTATTTTGAAGACAGTGACATCAAAGAAGCCAGGGCATGTATTCGGGAACCACGGTTTGTGGAAGTTCTACTGCAAAACAATACACCCTCTGACAGATTCGTCATTGAAGTAGATGTTATTCCCAAGCATTCTATATGTAAAGAAAAGTATTTCTACATCATGATGCAAAGTTACACAGATAATACGTGGAAACCAAGCAAAGAGGTTGCATTGTTTGTGAGAGAAGGGCCTAGCTCTAAGAATATCCTGGCCAATGCCAAGCAACGGGATAGAGAGTTCCTAAAATTTCAAGAGAACTTAAAGACATGGACAGAGTCTAGAAAAGAGGCAGAAGAGCATTGGATGGTGACTAAGAAAGAGAGTGAGGGACTAAAGCTAGCTAAACTTTTGACCAGACACCAAGGTTCACTGGACAACTCTTACTATGACTGGTACATTCTTGTAACAAATAACTGTGCACCAAATCAAATAGAGCACTTAGATTTCCTAAAAGAAATTAAATTGTTTGCTGTGCTGGATTTTGACCCATACTCTCAGATCAAGGGAGTGGTCAAAGCTTACAGAGAAAGCAGAATAGCAAACCTTCACCTACCCAGTCAGTATGAAGAAAAATCTACCACAGAAGAGAAAATTTCTACTCTGAAACTTTTTGAGCAGCCCAGCTGGATCTTCTGCAATGGCAGATTAGACTTGCAGAATGACTCGTGTCAGCCTCTGGAGCCACATTTATGGCAGAGAGATAGAGCTTCTGGGGTTAGGGGACTGATCTCATTTCTCACAGATGAAAATATCATGGTGAGAGGGAAGGTTTTGGTGGTATTTCTCTTACTTTCTCCAGTAGAAAACCAAAAGGATCCACTCATTGAGACTTTTTGTGCTTTCTATCAAGTTTTCAATGGAATGGACAACATGTTGTGTATCTGTGTCAACTCACATATCTACCAACGGTGGAGTGATCTACTGCAAGTAAGACTGGAAATCAAAGAGGAGTTAGCAGAACATAGCATTTCCACTTTAAATATACAGCTGGTCAACAATACCATCCTTAAACTGAAGTCAGTGATTCAGTCTTCAAGAAGATTCTTGCCCTCCTGTGGCTCCTCCTCAGTTATCCTGGAGAAAATGGAGGAAGATATCCTGACTGCACTGGAAATCCTCTGTGAAAATGAGTGTAGAGACACAGACATAGAGAAAGATGAACATGAATTCCTAAAATTTAAGAAGTTGAAGGAAGAACACTTTTATCGAGGAGGCAGAGTATCCTGGTGGAACTTCTACTTTTCTTCTGAAAACTATTCTTCAGCTTTTGTGAAAAGGGATGGTTATGAAGAACTTACTACTTTAATACAACAGTGTGCAGACTCTCCTAAACCGGTATTTGCCAAAGTCATCAACCTATACCATCACCCAGGCTGTGGAGGCACTACATTGGCTATGCATGTTCTCTGGGACTTAAAAAAGAAGTTTCGATGTGCTGTATTGAAAAACAAGGCAACTGATTTTGTTGAGATTGGAGAACAAGTAAGCAAGCTGATCAGCTACAAGTCTACCGGCCACCAGGATTACATCCCAGTTCTTCTCCTCGTGGATGATTTTGAAGAACAAGAAAACACCCAAATTCTACAGAATGCCATCAATTCCTTTATAGCAGAAAAGGGTCTGAGATATGAAAAAACATTAGTAATAATCCTGAACTGCATGAGGTCTCAGAATCCAGACGCAAGTGCAAAATTAGCAGATAGCATTTCACTAAAATATCAACTTTCTCCCAAAGAACAAAGAGCCTTTGAGGCCAAACTACAGGAAATTGAAAAGGAGCATAAGAACTGTGAAAACTTTTATTCCTTCATGATGCTGAAAGGCAATTTTGACCCAACTTACATACAAAATGTAGTGAAGAATACACTGAAAGACTTGGATACTCATAGCAGGAAAGCCCAGCTCATTTCTTACCTGGCATTACTCAACTCTTACGTTACAGATTCTACCATTTCAGTTTCACAGTGTGAAATATTTTTAGGAATCACTTATACCAGTAAATATGGAAAACCTGAAAGTGTAGAAGACAACATGGGAACTTATTCAACACTTGTAATAAGAACAGAAGTTTTAGAATATGGGAGATATACTGGTATACGTATCATTCATCCTCTAATTGCCATCCACTGTCTAAAAGAACTGGAAGTGAGCTATGGAATGGATAAGTGTCAGATCACATTGAAAATACTAGAGGAGAATGTGTTCTATGACTCTGGAATAGGAAGAGACAAGTTTAAGCACGATGTACAAACTCTCTTGCTTACAAGGCAAAGAAAGGAGCACGGAGCCGAAACAGATACACAGTTTTCCCCCTTAATTGAAGAATTGCAGAATGAGGAAACGGAAAAGATCTTGACTGCGGGAAGTGATCGATTCCCACAAAATGCATTCATTTGTCAAGCTTTAGCAAGACATTTCTACATTAAAGAGAAGAACTTTAGCACTGCTCTGTTTTGGGCAAATCTGGCCAAAAGAAAAGCACCTAAGAATTCCTATATTTCAGATACACTTGGTCAAGTTTACAAAAGTGAGATCAAACAGTGGCTGGTTAAAAATGAGACCTGTAGGATTATTAGTGTGGATGATCTAACACATTTGCTAGAAATCGCTGAAAAGGCTGCCAAAGCATTCAAAGAGTCTCAGCAGCAAACTGATAGTAAAGACTATGAAACCGAGGCCTGGTCACCACAGAAGTCCCAAAGAAGATATGATACATACAACACAGCTGGGTTCTTCGGTGAAATAGAAGTAGGTCTGGACACTATCCAATTTCTTCAGCTCACACCCCCTTTCCACAAAGAAAATGAAATGTTGATAGATGCTATGGTACAGTTTTTATCTGGAAAGGGGACCATCCCTTCAGACACAAAAGATGAATATTGTGCTGTTCTCAGCAAATTTACATCCCACCTACAGAATTTACAGTCAGATTTGAAACGATGCTTTGATTTTTTTTTGGATTATATGGGTCTTCTGAAACCAAGGAACACCCCAAAAGAAATGACAGAACTCTTACTAATTAAGAAAGTCAGCAGGTCTTTCAAGAAATACGCAGGACTTTTCTGCCGATTGGATACCAATTTGTTGCAGGGCAAAGAGAACCTCTTACTGCAAGAGGAGAATTGTAGGAAACGCATAGTAGCATGGAGAGCAGATACATTTTCAGGGCTCCTTGAATATCTTAACCCAAACCACAAAGAGGCTAACAACATGGAAAACATAGTGAAAGATTATACCTTCCTGTTACAGCACAGCCTAACCAAGCGACTGACGAAGAGTCTGACAAAGGAGACACAAAATTTCATTTTGGCCAACATTATTCTCAGTTGTTTGAAACCCAGTTCCAAGTACATCCTGCCATTTAACACACTGAAAACAAAGCTCCGAGAAGTCTTGCAACTCGTAGGCCTCAGTCATCCGTATCCTGATCCCTATTTCTTGGCCTGCCTCCTCTTCTGGCCGGAAAGCAAAGAGCTAGATCAAGACTCCACGCTCATAGAAAAATATGTATCCTCCCTGAATCGATCCTTCAGGAGACAGTACAAGCACATGTGCAGATCCAAGCAGCCGAGCACCCTATTCTACCTGGGGCAGAAGAAGGGGCTTAACAGACTTGTTCACAAGGCTGAAATCGAGCGCTACCTCAGTGAAGTACAAGATTCAAATTCCTTCTGGCAGAGTGGAGTAGTGTGGGAAAAACGCGAAGTCAAAGACCTCCTGCGCCTACTCGATGGCCAGGCTGAAGGCAAGCTAATCTATGTAGAATACGGAACTGAGGCAAAAATAAAAATACCGGTGAATTCTGTGTACTCGGGTCCACTCAGAAGTGGAAGGAACATCGAGAGAGTAGCCTTTTACCTAGGATTTTCTATTGAGGGCCCTCTGGCATATGGCATAAAAGTAATCTAAGAAGTTACATTAGTTCAAAGGTGTTAATTTACATCTATTACTGTAGTCACTCTTTCTAGTCCATAGCATTTGCATGACATGATTGGCTCAATTGCAATCACAGTTTGCTTCTTTTTCTCTAATCAGTGTGGAAGACTTTGTAGGGTAGGAAATATGTCCATACTACAGCTTGGTCTTCAGCAGCATCAATCATCCCATATCCTAAATATGCATTCCCAGATTGACATATTCAGTTAAGACGATTCAGTTGGTTTATATGAACAGTCTAAATAGTCAATAAAATCTGTGTAAATTAAATCACTTTTCTGAGTTATTTCTTCACTGTGAAACCAGACATTTAACTAAGAAGATTATTTGAAAATAGTGCTGGAGAGACAGCACAGCAGTCTATAGCACACGCTGCTCTTACATAGGACCTGAGTTCACTTCCTACCACCCACATCAGGTATCAGGTGGCTCACAACCACCTAAGCTAAGCATGAGGGGATTCTAATGCCCTTCTGGCAACCACTGACACCTGTGCTCACATTCTCATTCTCTCTCTCTCTCTCTTTCTCTCTCTCTCTCTCTCTCTCTCTCTCTCTCTCTCTCTCAACACACAGTTGAAAATAATTTTTGATCAAAAGGAGTTGTGGAGACTCTGGGTCAACTGGAATGCACGAGCACGTGTGTGTGTGTGTGTGTGTGTGTGTGTGTGTGTGTGTGTGCTTGAAGGCATCGCCTAGGCAGGATACTGGGACTTCAAGCAGCCACAGAGGTCCACTCACCCATGCTGTTGATAAGAGCTTCTGTGTAAAGTACATACATTGCTTCTCACTCTCCATTGAACACCAGTGCTTGCATAGGCTCTCACACACAATCCCTCGCCCACCTCTTTACCTTAGGAGTGCAAATGGGGAAAGGAACAGCATCAAAGCAGTCTCTTGTTTGAATCCACCCCATTCTAAGCCCCAAGAGAGCCTGCTCCATTGTCTACCTCGAAAGGCAGACATTTCTCCCCCTCCATAATAGATCCCCTCCTTCTTCTCTTCTGTTCTCCACACCCACACTTTCACTCTTTCTATTTCTCAAACTGTCCTGGGTGCTTGCAATTCTCCCTCCAAGACTGTCTTATTTTCACTTAACATGCTCCTAATGTTTATTCTGATTCGTCCTTCACAATTCTGTTCCACAATCTCCGCCAGGAAGTCTTCCTGTTGTGTTTTGGCAGAAACAAAGAAAGTTAACCCAGAGAAACAGGGGACACCCACCCTTTCATTCATGAGTTTGAATCTAAATAGAAGGTTTTGCCCCTGTTCCCTGCTTTCAGTCCATCACAGCCAGGGTCCCTCCTGCTCTCCTCTTACCACTTGCTGCAAACACTGGCTGTGATTTTGTTGGCTCCTCCTATACATATCAGTATAAGTACAGGGCCACAGAAAGGTTATGTTGTAGGGGAAAGTTTTGTTAGCTCACAGATCTGTTCTTAAAAAGCAAGGCGGGGGAGTTTACTGATGGTCTTCATGCTGGCAGAATCCTGAGTAAGTACCCGGAATAATATATGAGTGTCAAGGTGGCGCAGACCCAATTTAAGTGGCTTTCCTGGTATTGTCATTCTAGAGATAGTCCATTGACTCATTAAACCTTTAATCCCATAAGGAGATGGATCCATTCGTGAGAGCACTGCCCTAATAATCTCTTAAAGTCACATCTCTTAATGTCTCACAAAGAAAAGGTTCAACATAAGTTTCCAAGGAGACAAATCACATTTGTACCATGACAGTATCAAACTTTCGCAAATGTTCTGAGATGCAGGTTGGTGCCTATTCAAGACTGTGAGAACCTGTGAGGTCCAAGCTAGGAAGCTAGCTAGGAAAGAGCTCCAGAGCTGGGAAATTGAAAATGCAAGGTCCTGCAGTCCGATGTGACATGCTGTGTTCACTCTGAGCAAAGCACAGATCAGCATGCACAGGCTGCATGAAAGTAGGTACACAGACCTATGAACAAGCACACACAGGTAGGCTGGCAAATGCACTCACCCCTGATCCTAAGAACATTGTTCTAGTTTGATTTCTATTGCTGTGATAAAACACCATGACCATGACTAAAAGCAACCTAACGTCTCAATCATTGTTCATCCCTGATAGAAGACAAGGCAGAAAAACAAACAGTATAGGAACCTGAATGCAGGAAATAAAGCAAAGAATATAAAGGAATGTGGCTAATAGCTTGCTCGCCTGCATTCTTATAGAACTCAGAATCACCTCCCCAGTACTAGCACTGGACCCATTGACCTGGGCCTTCCCACATGAAGTTTTAATCAAGAAAATGTCCTACAGGCTTGCCTACAGGTCAAGCTGATGGAGGCATGTTCTCAACTGACAAAACTAACAGCACAAAGATATTTACAGGAAACCCACAAAACTGGCATTCTACCAAGAATGTTTATATAACAGATTACATCACTGCTAACTCCAGGCTCCCTGAATGTCTCATGTTAGCCATCATTAGCTGATTCTCAGATTGTACACTTCAATAATAACAGCGCCCCCTGTGTTTGCTCAAAACACATGACCAGATAAACAAAGAGATGAGACCAGGAAAAAAATACATAAATAAAGCTTAGAAATACCATGGACATTAGATACAATAGACCAGGATGATTTTAGGGAAGCTTTTTCTATGCTTGTATCTTAATATATTTTTAACTATGTTTTCTTCTATCAGCATCATAATTTCAAGCCTTATATTAAACTATGCAAGAGTGTGGTAACACAGACATTTTTACAATATAGATTCTGCCAATGCAATACACAGGAAGTTTATCCATCGTCTAGTGTCTACTTCAATTGCTTTCTTTGGATTCTTGAAGTATTCCTTGTAAAAACCATCCACTTCCTCAATTAAGTTTAACCCTGTACTTATATAGATTTCTGTAAGTTGTGTTTTTTGTTTTGTTTTGTTTTGATTTTTCATTCTCAGAAAATTTGAACTACTATTCAAAAAGTCATTGAGTTGTATATGGGTTTGTACCTTTCTACTTTGCTGAAAGTCTTTAACAGATCTAAGAACTTTCTGGGAGAATGTTTATGATGGCTAAATGGGTCCACCACTAAAAAGGATGAACTTGCTTCTTCCTTTCCCATCAGTATCCCTTCTATTTCTTTTGACTTGTTGATCTGACTAAAATCCGAAGTATTTTGTTAAATAAAAGTAGAGGAAGTAAGCAATCTTCTGCTTCAGATTAAAAAAGAGAGGCTTTCAATATTTGAATGTCAGGTATATTATCAGCTGTAAGTTTATTGCACTTCTTAATTGGATTATTGAGTGTTTTGGTGATTAGCTTCTCGAGTTCTTGGTATATTTTGGAAATCATTCCTCTGTCAGATGTGGGGTTGGTGAATATCTTTTCCCATTGTGTGGGCTGCCGTTTTGTCTTGTTGACTATGTCCTTTGCCTTACAGAAGCTTCTCAGTTTGAGGAGGTCCCATTTATTAATTGTCAATCTCAGTGTCTATGCTACTGGTGTTATATTCAGGAAGCGGTCTCCTATACCAATTTGTTCAAGGGTACCTCCCACTTTTTCTTCTATGAGGTTCAGTGTGACTGGATTTATGTTGAGGTCTTTGATCCATTTGGACTTAAGTTTTATGCATGATGATAGATATGAATTTATCTGCAATCTTCTATGTGTCAGCATCCAATTATGGTAGAACCATTTGTTGAAGATGCTTTCTTTTTTCCATTTATAATTTTAGCTGCTTTCTCAAAAATCAGGTGTTCATAGGTGTGTGGGTTAATATCAGTGTTTTCAATTCGATTCCATTGGTCTACCTGTCTATTTTTGTCCCAATACCAAGCTGTTTTCAGGATTACAGCTCTATAATAGAGCTTGAAGTCAGGGATGGTGATGCCTCGGGAGGTTCCTTTAGTGTATGGGGTTGTTTTGGTTATCCTGGGTCTTTTGTCCATATAACATTGAGTATTGTTCTTTTAAGATCTGTGAAGAATTGTACTGGCATTTTGATGGGGATTGCATTGAATCTGTAGATTGACTTTGGTAAAATTGCCATCTTTATTATGTTGATCCTACCTATCCAAGAGCACGGGAGATCTTTCCATTTTCTGGTATCTTCTTTAATTTCTCTCTTTAAAGACTCAAAGTTCTTATTATATAGGTCTTTCATTTGTTTGGTTAGCATTACCCCAAGATATGTTATGCTGTTTGTGGCTATTGTAAAGGGTAATGTTTCTCTGATTTCTTTCTCATCCCATTTAGTGTCTGTATACAGTAGGGCTACTATTTTTTTTTTTTTTTTTTTTTTTTTTTAGTTAATCTTGTATCCTGCCATTTTGCTGAAGGTGTTTACTAGCTGTAGGAGTTTTTGTGAGTGTAGTTAACTTCCTTAGGTTGGAGTTTTCCTTCCAGTACTTTCTGTAGGGCTGGATTAGTGGATATGTGTTGTTTAAACCTGGTTTTGTCATGAAATATCTTGTTTTCTCCATCTATAGTGATTGAAAGCTTTGCTTTGTATAGTAGTATGGGCTGGCATCTGTGGTCTCTTAGTGTTGGTAGAGTATCTATCCAGGACCTTCTGGCTTTCAGAGTTTCCATGGAGAAGTCAGGTGTAATTCTATTAGGTTTGCCTTTATATTTCGCTTGGCCTTTTTCCTTTGCTGCTCTTAATATTCTTTCTTTATTCTGTATGTTTGCTGTTTTGATTTTTATGTGGCAAGGGGACTTTCTTTTGTGGTCAGTTCTGTATGGTGTTAGTTTCATATACTTTCATTGGCTTGTCTTTCTTTAGGTTGGGAAAGGTTTTCTTCTATGATTTTGTTGAATATGTTTTCTACACTTTTGAATTGGGTGTTTTTGCCTTCTTCTGTACCTATTATTCTTAGGTTTGGCCTTTTTTGTGTTAGGGATTTGTTGTACATAAGATTTTCTTTGGTTGATGAATCTATTTCTGCTGGTGTATCTTCAATGTCTAAAATTCTCTCTTCCATCTTTTGTATTCTGTTGGTTATTCCTGCATCTGTAAATCCTGATCATTTACCCAGCTTTTTCTAATTCCAGCATTCCCTCAGACTGTGTTTCTGTTTTCTGGGTTTGTCTATTTTTTTTTGTTTTTTGTTTGTTTGCTTTTATTGTCTCTATTTCAGCTTTCAAACCTTTCACTGTTTGAAATTTTTCAAATTTTGGTTTGTCTTTTCTTTATTTTCTTTGAAGGATTTTGTCATTTCCTCTTTTAAGGTCTCTATCATTTTCATGAAGTTGTTTTTAAAGTCGTTCTCTTCTGCTTCATCTGTGTTGGGAT